TATATATATATATATATATATAAATTTTTTATATATATTATATATATATTTTAATATAATATATACATATATATTAAAATATATATATATATTTTTAAATAAGATATCCCATAGTTAAATACCTATTCAATTAAATTCCTTTGAAATAATTCTTATTCATTTCTGGTAGGCCAGAACCACCCAAGTAAGCGTGGGTTATGGATGTTCCTCACCAGGCTCACTGCTATTTATTTCTCCTGGTCCACTAATGCAGTAACAGCAGATAAAAACTTAAAACTTCTTTTATTTTCTAGTCAAGAAGTTGGTCTCACTACAGGGTATTTAAAAATTTTATACTTGTTTTAGCCTGCATATTTTTAAAAAATCATGTGTTTTAAAAAATCCACTCCTTTACGTTTTAAACGTGTCACTCAAAGTATACCCCACATACATGACAGTAAGGGTTTTCCAATTTACAAAATTATATGCTTTCTATTTTGAAAAAAAGATAAAGAACTTTTTATAATATATGGTATATAGTAATATGTTTATGGCAAAATGTAAAGGCAAAAAGCAAACTAATTTTGCTACAGAAATTCAGAGAGGAGGGATAATGAATAAATCAGAAATGCTTTGTGGGCATTTAGGCATTCTCCAGTTTTACAGGATATTAAGAATAGTTCTTCCTTCCTTGAAAAGTGCTTCAATGGTACTAATTTATCTCTCTGAGAATATTCCAAATAACCAGAGAAAATAACTGCAAATGAATAAACATATGTTAATTTCAAATAAACATTAATTTCAATGGTAGGTAAAGTATCAATTAATAAAAATTCAAGTAGAATTTCCTCTTGACACATTTTCAGCAGAGATAACTGACAAAAAGAGACTTGCAAAAGTTGAAGTCTTGAGATGCGGTCTAAATACTGCTTTTCTGGGTACATCTGGAATCAGTTTATTGGTTACCAATCCCTGTTCTCAGAGATCTATACACTATAGCTCAGGAAACAAAGGGAGCAAAGAAGAGAATTTTATAAGGCCAAAACTGCCTCAAGGCAAAGCTTTTAACATTCGTCTGAGCAGATAACGTCTATGGAGCCTCACTATGTGCCAGGAACTAAAATAGACTCTGATGATTTAAAAATAAAATACCATAATTCTTAAAAGACAGATACAAACAGATTATTAGAATACAATTGGGTAAGTATAATGATGGGCATATTACTCATTTCACTCAATTATATAAGAATTAAATGAGAAAACATTTAAGCACATTAAAACATCGAAGCACATACCACAGTGCCTAATATCAATCAGGTAGTGAATATGTTTTAATTCTTCTATTAGAGCAAAAAGGTTTTGTGGCCAGGTATGGTGGCTCACAACTGTAATCCCAGCACTCTGGGAGGCCGAGACGGGCAGATCACTTGAGGTCAGGAGTTTGAGACCAGCCTGGCAAACATGGTGAAACCCAGTCTCTACTAAAAATACAAAAATTAGCCGAGTGGGGTGGCATGTGTGCCTGTAATCCCAGCTACTGGGGAGGCTGAGACAGGAAAATTGCTTGAACCCAGGAAGCAGATGTTGCAGTGAGCCAAGATGGCGCCACTATACTCCAACATGGGCAACAAAGCGAGACTCCATCTCAAAAGAAAAAAAAAAAGGTGTTGCATTTGTTTCCAGATTGCTACTGTGGTTCCTTCTCTTGGCTATCCCTAGAAAGAGTCATAGTTCCACACATGTTCATCGCAGTATTACTTACAATAAACAATAGAAAAATTTTCAAACAGAAATAAGTAAATTATTTCCTAGCTACTTGATGGAAGTATATGCAGCTATTAAAATTTAGATAAATAGGCCGGGAGCAGTGAGCAGTGGCTCACACCTGTAATACCAGCACTTTGGGAGGCCAAGGCAGGTGGATCACGAGGTCAGGAGTTCAAGATCAGCCTGGCCAACATAGAGAAACCCAATCTCTACTCAAAATACAAAAATTAGCCAGGCATTGTGGCACACGCCTGTAGTCCCAGCTATTCAGGAGGCCGACGCAGGAGAATCACTTGAACCAGGAGGCGGGGGTTGCAGTGAGCTGAGATTGCGGCACTGCACTCTAGCCTAGGCAACAAAGCAACATTCTGTCTCAAAAAAAAAAAAAAAAAAAAAAGATCAATGGATATAGTTTAAATACAATACAAATACCGTTGTGATACTTTTAAGTATTGTTTAGAATTTTTTTGGCAGGTAAAGAGAGATTGTTTAGGTTTTATATATTCCTTTGAATTTTAAGAAGCAAGGCACATTAAAATTTCTCTATCACATATCAACAATTTAATTACTCATATATGCTAATGACATGTATACTAGTACTTATAGTTCTTCTTTACATTAAAAAATTGGAAACTTCCCAAAAGCTCATCAGTAGAACAATGAATAGTGTTAAAACAATACAACAGAATACTATGCAGCAGTGAAAATGAATATAGATGAACTCAATAACTTGGATATATCTGGAAAAATGTTGCTAAACTAAGCAAGTCAGCCAAGTGTGGGGCTCATGCCTGTAATCCCAGCACATGGGGAGGCTGAGGCAGGTCAACGTACTTGAGCCTAAGAGTTTCAGTCTGGGCAACATAAGGAGACCTTGCTGCTATAAAAAATTTAAAAAATTAGCTGGGTGTGATGACACATGCCTGTAGTCCCAGCAACTTGTAAGGTTGAGGCAGGAGGATCACTTGAACCTGGAA